CATATGTCAAAAAAGAATGTACCAACATAACAAAAAAAAAGTTCTAAGATTTTGAAAAAGGTCTATTACTTAAGGAGTAGTTAACAAACAACAAAATCCGGATACTTTTTGAGCAGGAGGTACTTACAAAATTACAATTAAAGTTATTTTCAAAATAAATGTTATTTTTCAAAACATATTTTAAATTATAATGAAATTGAGGTTTTGAATAAGAATGAATCACAACAATAAACATTTTTTATTGTTTTTATTAATTGAATTTTTGGCTGACCATACAGCTGTTTTATGTAATAAAAGTAACAAAAAATTTTGTTGTTATAATTTACTACAATTCAAAACATCCAAAAACAATAGTTTATATTATGTATAACAGTCAGTGTCATCATAACTAACGTTAAAATCAAATTTAATACAAAAGTATTCATACAATTATTATGAATATTATCCTTTAAATTATTTTCTAAATTATTACTGAAATAATTATTATCTTCAAAATTATTTTCAAAACTATTTTCATAATTTTCATCAAAACATATCAATATTAAGTCCAAATTTATTTTATTAATTTTCAAAATAATTATAAATTAATATCTAAATTATCTTCAAAATTATTTTCTAAAATGTCTATTGGATTATATTCAAAATTATTTATAAAACTATATTAATAATTATATTCACAACTTTTATCAAAATTATATTTAAAATTGACTATAAAACTATCTATATAAAATATATAGTATATATTATATGAACTATATAATTATTTTCAACACTTTTTACAAAACTAATTTTTTTTTTAACACATGTTAATGTCACGTCCAGAATTATTTTCAAAATTATCTTTTAGATTTAATTTAAAATTATCTTCATAATTATTTTTGAAATTATTTTTTAAAGAGGCTTTCGAAAAGTAGTGAACTACAACAACAAAAATTATTTATAATATTATTTTAATTAATTAAATTTTTGGCTGACCATACAGATGTTTCAAGTATTACCTATAGCTTCTCCAAATCTTTAAATATTTTCTTCTAAATCATTTACTAAATTATCTAAATTATTTACTTCAAAACATATCATTAATGAAAACATAGACTTAATATCTCAGTCCAAATTTTCAAATTTATTTATTGAATTTTCTTTAAAATCATAAAATCATAATATTTTAAAAATTATCTCTAGAACTTACTTTAAAATTATCTCGAGAACTTACTTTAAAATTATCTATAGAACTTACTTTAAAATTATCTATAGAACTTACTTTAAAATTATTTTTAGAACTTACTTTAAAGTTATAAACTTACTTTAAATAATATTATAGTTTTGTACAAACGGAGTGAACACGATTCCTTTGTCGCGAATGCTAGATCGGGATCTCATGATATGTACCCACAGCTACAATATGACATTATTCATAATTTTTATTACGAAAACACTCAGCATATATCGAGCGTATTTTTTAAATGTAGCTGCGGTCTTTTTAAACTGAACGGTAGAGAATTTAATATATCTGATCGTATTTGTTGTTTGTGTAATCGTCATGATATATGGACGTATTTTTTTTTTGATAAAGCACTTCTGTCGGAAGAAGAAGGAAGTTAAAGTCTTGTTAAATGGTAGCAACAGTGGCGGAGCTAGACCAACTCTGGACGTCGGCGACATTAGAATTGCGAGGCCCCCTTTATAACCCAGTTGTAAAACTAAATAAGTTACATTCACTAATATGACAAAGCATGATTGAAAGTTTTATTGCTAATCTTTTACTTTTAGCTTCACTTCATTTTTTTTAAATTATATCATAATTTGCGCCAGCTTTATTTTCGCTTCAGTTTATAGAATTTCGAATGGAGATAGTCTCTCTTGGATTATCATAATTTTCTAGTACGTCTTAATCAATTTTAAATTTGAAAAGCTTCTTTCCGTCGAAGCTATACTGACTGGAACTGTGAACATGAATCTGGGTACTATATAAACATTCGGAAATTTTTGAATATGGTTAATGCCATTATCAAACCAAATTGTTCAAAATATTTACTAAGTGCTTAGAATCCACAGTCGGTAACTTTTTGCGAGGCCCCTGTGGGCGCGAGGCCGTCGGCGGTCGCCGACATCGCGGTCGCCTAGCGACGCCTTTGGGTAGCAATATTTATAAACTGAACAAATTTATGAAAAATATTTTAAATTATAGAAGATTACTTATTGTTGAATTTATATGAATAATAATGTTAATATTTAAACCACAGATTTTTAGTAAAATTCTATAATTTCTGTGAGTGCTGTATGAATTTTTGAAACAATAAATAATAATAATAAATAAAATTATCGTCATAATTATTTTCAAAATTATCTAAAAAATCATATTCAAATTTACCTTCCTAATTTTATTATTTACTATTATATACTTTTTTTCAAATTAACTATTTCAACTATTTTATTTCAATCATCATTTTGTATTCTCTTGAAAGTAAAAATTTTGGCTTTGATAAATTGGTTTTATTTATGATTTTAATACCTTTTTGCAATTCGTTTCACTTCAATATTTTTGCATTAAATATCATTTTTATTTACTTAACATCAACAACAGTTCAACAATTTCGCTATTCCAAATTTTAGGTCAATAACTTCCAGAAGCAATAAAAAATTTAAAAAATATAAAAAAAACAAAAACAAAAACAAAAATCGAATGCAAAATTTTGGCAAAACTTTTCTGCCCGAAAAAGTTAAACTTTCAATTGATAAAGTAAAGTTTTGGGAAGTTTATTTCTTTTAATTTTTTTTTTTTTTTTTTTTTTTTGGTACTACTCCACAACATCAAGACACGTACAAAAATTTATTAACTTCATCCTGAGGGCCTCGAGAACACGTTACGCTTCGAATGTATGTCACAATGAGTTTTATGATTTTTTAATAAGAAAGGGAAAAAAGCAACAACAACAATAACAACAATAATAACAATCACAACAATAACAACAATAAAAAACGCACCGATCAAGAATTCAAAAAGCGATAAAACAATAAAAACAAGAGTAAAAAGATACACTCGAAGCGAGAAAAGAAAAAGTTTTTTATAAATAAATTGGCGTTTTACTTTCAATCGAAATTTGTGAAACAGGCCTAAACCGTAAAACCGACTAAACCGGAGCGCACAGGAAGGGAAAGCTCACAAATATTTGTGCTTGAGATATATTCAAATGCGATATGGGCCGGAGCGATAAAGGCGTGTGCAACAACACATACAGGCAGGCAATGAAAAGCAAAAGTTTTTAAATAAAAATCAATGTGAAAAATGAAAAACAAAAAAAATATATTATTTTTCATATGAAAATCGACACTTAAAAGTCAGTTAAGTTGAGCCGACTAAACTACAGACACAAATTAACATTCTTTACTTTAAACAAGAAATTTCAAAATCAAAGACATTAAAACTGAATACTGAAAACTGAAATATCAAAAAGAAAAAAAAACATAAATAAATAAATGAAGTTAAATAAAACCTGCCTGGGGCACTTTCTCTTTCTTTCTTTGTTGATAAGACGCAAGACACACCGCAACGCAACCTATCGATTTGGTAAAATCACAAGCGTTTGGATACATACGCTACGTATCTGTATCTGTATCTGTATCTGTATCTGTATCCGTATCTGTATCTTACTTTCCGTCCGTCCAGCTGCCTACGAGTACGAGTATCTGTTGCATGAGTGTGCTCTGTTTGTTGCTGTGAAGTGAAGTTGCTGGATATCAACGTATCGTGTCATGGCAATTGACACTATTCAAACTACTTTATAGCATTGCATGCATGATTGCTCGCAACAGTTCAGCATCGTTATAAGCCAAAACATGTCGGCTGGAAATAATAATAACCATACCACAGGCATAGCTCCATCGATAAACGTTATTAAAATCATATCTATCATTAACACCGAACTGTGATATTTAAATTCATTCGCAGCATCAACACCTTTTGTTGTCAGAAAATTTTACGTTTCATTGAAGTTTTGTGTGTGCAGAACTCTCGCTTTTCAACTATGTTAACTCAGATACTTCTATTATTTATTTTATATCTATCTATCTATTTTCCTTTATCGCTTGCCATACAATCAACTTAATTTCCACTTAAGCCATCATCATGAAGACATTTGACACTCTTTGTCAGCTCATAAAAACCAATCTAAATAATAGATAGAAGAAAAGTATTTAAAAAAAAGAAAAAAAAAACGAATAATGACTGATTCAAAGCACTTAAGCCCAGTTAAGTAGATCAAAGTAGCGTATTGTTATCTTAAGCTGACAATGCGACATTTTAATTTTCTGCTTCTTTTTAATCCAAAGTCTTGACCAACTGAGTTTTGTTATTGTTTTCAACGCAAAACAAAAAACTTTTTGAACATTTATTGAGATATAAAAGCAATTTTTTTTTTTGTTTTTTTTTTGTATCTATTGTATCACGTTTCAGTGTATGAGCTATGAGCACGAGCAGCAAACAAGATGCGAGAAAGTTTATTTTTTCGCTATGTATTTCATTTATTTCCTCTGCTCATTATTTCTATATTTTTAAGTAAATCAATTTCTATATTTACAGAATTTTTTCCTACTTCCCAAACGTTTTTGCTGGCCTGGCCGCCTGCGACTACCGGCTGCCGCCAATATAGGAGCGCACTGAACAACGCTCGTTTTGCAGAAAATATAAATTCAATAAATATGCAAATTTTATTGAAACTTTTGAATTA